GCATCAATATTTGCAATATTTGTGCAAAGTGAAAAGAGAAAAAAGCTTCTCAGGGTTCATGAATAATTGTTTTATTCGAAAACTGTCGAGCCATCAGCATTAGTAATGTTTAAGTCTTTGTTTCTTTGTATCACAGCTTTTTAAAATTTTACATTCATATGCTTTTCGGCTTAGTCTTTATTAATCTGGGGTCGCCACAGTGGAATGAACTGCCAACTTATCCAGCATACTTTTTACACAGCGGATGCCCTTCCAGCTGCAGCCCATCACTGGGAAACACCCATACACTCACATTCACACACATACACTAAAGACAATTTAGGTTACCCAATTCACCCATGAACATGCAAACTTCGCACAGAAATGCCTGACCCAGCCGAGGCTTGAACCAGCTACCTTCTTGCTTTGAGGTGACAGTGCTACCCACTGCGCCAACTGATATTACAATTTGTTATAGAAAAAATAGTGTAACTTATTTCATGTTATCATTATTGCATTTCATGTTCAACTTGTTAGAAGCATCTTGCAGCATCATTCTTTCATCTTTCTCTAGTTGTTTGATTGTAGTCCAAATTTGAAGACAGTTTGTGTCTTCACATTACTCACCAACCTGTGAGTAAAATAATAACTTTTGTCCTCAATGTTACATTACAACATAAATTACACACAATCACACCTTGATCATGAATGTTGATATTTTCTGTAATTTAATAAAACACACTTTTACAATACAGAATTACAAATTTCGCACTGGAATGTAAAACCCATTCTATATTGGCTAGCAAGTAGTGATCAGCTTTATTAAATAAGTAAATACACCCAAATCTGCCAGACTCAACATATTCAAAAATTTTGTCATTTGTATGCCAAATTTACAATCTATGAGTGCAATTTATTAGTATAGGTCTAAAATGTATTTTATTTCTGTGAGAAGTCTGACACATAAATAATTATCATAATTTTCATAGTCATATTGTTTGTTTGTTTGATTTTTCACAAAGAAAAACCATAACTGAGGCAACTAGAGCATGCCTAAAATTTACATAACAAGGGAATACATTTTTCTGGTCTTGACAAAGAAACAGAAACATAAGAAATATGTAAACTGATGGTTGTGTTTGTTTATGTTTATGTATATGTTTCCACTGTAGAACTCTTGGTAACACTTTATGTAGCAATTTTCTCTATTATTTTGGCGTATTAAATATATTGGTTGTTTATTTGTTTGTCTAAACCAACTACTACTGTACCTTAATAACTATTAAAAAGAAGTGAATTGGGGGTTTATTAAGGCAAAATCCTAGTTAATCCTATATCAATGGTGAAAATTGTAGCTTAAAATAAAAGGTTTCTGAATTCTCTAATGTTTTGACAAAGGTTGTTTCCAAAATAAATCTTTACCTTCTTGATCATACATACACATTTTTATAGGATCATTCTAATCAAAAATCCCTAACAACTGCAATATTTTCATGTGTAAAATCTACAAACAGTATTAGCTCAATCACAGACAAAAACATATAAAACAAACATACAGGAATTCCTGCTGTTCACATTACACGCCATCCCGGCCTATTTATTCATCTTGCATGAACCAGTGACTCTCTGCCTTGTTTCTCAAATCCCTTTTAGAGAATCAGCCAAACCACAAGAGGAGACTAAAATGAAAGACAATGTTTGTTTTCTGAAGACACATTTCATCCATGGAAAGTTTAATGTAGGGCTAAAATAAAATATCAGACAAATGATTCATGAAGATATATACTTTTATTCGCTTGTATATTGTTTATTCACACCGTGAGGTTGAAGGTAAGTGCTTCTTTTAGCATTTGTTTGGGAAAACGAGTGGGAAAACTCAAGCTTGTTTACAGATAGTAAAATGTAATTTGTGGTTTGTCATTTTTTATCTGTTAAAGGCTGTGGAAATTTGGATTAACTGACATAATTAGGTGAAATGTATTGAGGTTAAGACCTGCATGTAAGTGTTTATTTACTAGGAACTTTTTGCAAACCTTTTCATGTATTCGGCACATGCTAAAATACTTGCTCACTCCTTTTCTTCAATTTATTCCCTTCTTCATCATAAGTCACCGCAGTGGAATGAATCACTACTTACCCTTGCAGCTCAACTCCTGCACTGCAGAAAAACACACTCTCCTGTTCACAAACACACCCACTACGCTGATTTTACTATGTCCACACATATAGAATCCACACATATAGAATCACTGCAACAGATCAATTTAATACACTACAGTACGTACTATAAATTACTACTGTAGCCGATTTTTTCATGCTGGTCCACACAAGCATCACAGCCTAGTCTTTTCTTGAACCAGCAACTTTCTTACTGTGAGGCGAAACATGTATAAATGTAATTTGTCATGAGCTTACGGGAAATGGGTATTTTTCTTTGAACGAAAATGTTTCATCATGGTCTCTGGAGAAAATATTTGTCTGTCTCTGTACTGCCTGCACTGTGATGCAGTTAAATTATTAGTCTTAGTGCTGTTAAAATTTGACTGTTCACCATCTTTGCTGTTGGACAACCAATAAACTGAGGCCTTTTATAACAGAAACAAAAGTGCTTTGAGTCATAACCGGTTTCAAACTGGTGGTCTTTTTTTATTTCCCTGTGTGAGGTGAACATGGTCAAAGCCTACATTCGGGACCATTGTGTTTGAAAGAACAGCATATTTATGAAGCTGTTTAATGCTTTTAAAGCTTTGACTGTGTTGTCCAAGTGTCATGAGGTTTAGTTGTGTTGTGGAGTTATTTACTAGACAAGAATTCTTTGAGCATTACAAAAGAGATTAATAGCTGCCGAGAAAAAGATGCCGCGGATGTTAAGCAATGTGAGAAGGGAATTAACAGATTAGACAGAAATCAAAACCAAATGAGACCAAGATGGGTCAAACTGAGTTAATCAACCAAGCTGCTAATTATGGGAAAACATTTTAGCTGTACAGTAATATGATGCCATCTTTGATGAAGCGTGAAGCAGACTGAGGGGTTAGTTTGATATTGTGACTTCAACAGTATGTTGGACAGTAACATTGCTCAGATAAGATTTTTTTTTGTCCTTTTATGTTTTGGGTTTGTAAAGCAAAAACAGCCATCAGAGGATGTATTTGAACAGCCACTGGTGTGACCTTAAGCAGTTTTGTTTAGGCCTTGCAGGTGTCTAAACACAAGAAAGTGCTGAAAATATGACAGACCTCACACTGGTTGTAATAAATCAGGTAGATCACATAAATCAGGCTCTAATGTCCTTGTGGCTTTGCATTGGCTTGATTTGGAAACTCTATTTTTCCATGAATAAAGATGGATTGTATATAGTAGTTGTAATTCGTTCATAAACAAAATAAGTAGTTGGGTCACTGAATCCTTGATTTTCTCAAAAACATTGATTCTTGCTGGCACAACACACTAGCATGCTAATACGTGATATTGCTTAAATGATTGTCAAGCGGCCAGCGGAAGAATCAACACAATCTTAGTTCAAAATGTTTCATGGAAACCTAGCAAACTGTTTTCAATTTTAAAAACATTCAAGCTCCTTTGAGTGTGTAGATCAAGGTGAGACACTCAAGACAGTAAGTTTAATAGTCAGTTATGCATTCACATCCCTTTTATATTGATCATTAAACGCACTTGAAAGCATGTAGTTAAATCCGCTTGAGTGCAAGATAATATGCCATAGTTATGATCATCTTGAGTGTTTTCAATTAAATAAAAAAAAAACTTCTACCACTGTAGTTGTACTATCAAAGCATGTAGCCATCACCTTTAAATCTTTATGATGCCCCTGGGGTCGAAATAAAAAGGGGCCACCATTGTTAAACAGATGGTGAACCAGTAATACAGTGCTGATTTTTATTAAACATGAAAAGGCATGACTTGATTCAATCCATATTAAGGCCAGGAGCTCATGCATGAGTTAATCCTAACTATGCATTTTCTATATAATAAAACTGTACTGAAGATATATATATATATATATATATATATATATATATATATATATATATATATATATATATAGTCATGTATATATAAATGTAAGATATGTAAGATAATAAACAAATATTTGATGTGTAGTTATTACTTAAACTGCACTAAGACAAATTTAATTGAATAGGTACTTTTAAATGTATTTATTTTAAGCACATTTCTGAAGCACAATGTATTCGGTGTTCCATCAGAACTCAAAAGGTATAATAAATACAACACACTTTACCTTTTTTAAATAACTAAAACAGACACAAAAAAGGAAATGCCCTTTCAATGACGCACTAAGTTTTGTTACAAGATTACCATAACAACTTATCATAAAACATAAAATACACATGAACAAATCCTACAATTAAGTGCAAATACAGTTGCACATTAAAATACAGACAAAATTCATTTCTATTTGTTCAAACATTAAAATGAGCTGTTTCAGTGAACATGTGAAAACGGTTCAAAATACAAAAGCAATGCCAATTCCAGCCAGCCACAAAAGCCCCTCTTTTATCAAAGAAAGTGCTTTAAAAAGACAGAGTTAGCAGCAATTGAACTAGAGCTACATTACTATGCTGTTACAATACATACAGGAGTGCTGGTTCTTCATAGATTGTAGACCTTATACATACTTAAATACTGTTAAATCATATTATGATGATTGAAAACCATCAGACAGTCCTGCGAAGTCATCACTGGAAACAATTTAAGGAGATTTCCTCTCCTGAATTACAAAGACGTATGCTGTAACATACTATGTTCATTTGGAATCAATTATTTGTTTGAATATTTATGGTTTGAGTTGTATAATAAAATCCCATCAGCCTTTGGCACTTTTCAAAGTAATAAGTAATAATTACTTAATGAGTAATAAGTAATGAAGCAACTTACAATGTTGTAAAAAAATGTTGTGTCATGTCTGAAAACATGTCCGTGTAGTTACAAATAAATCCCATCATTCTTTGTCATATTTCAGATGAAATACACTATTTTGATAAAAAAAAAAAAAAAACACTGTTCAAATCCAACTGATGTGGTATCAGAGCCAGCGGTAAAACAAGTCAGATATCTCAATATCCAAATCCCATCAATCTCTGACACAAAGGAACAATGTTAATTAATAAATAATTGTTGTTTTAAATGAATTATTCCACATCTACGCAGTCACTGTTAAGTATTTGCTGATTTAGTCAAACAATTTTTTGGTTTTCCTTATTTCAGAGAAACAAGTCAGAGTGGTTCTGATTTAACAATAAAGTCTTTGGCTTGTTTTAAAAGACGTATTCGGTGTCTTTAGAGTCACAGTTAAGCATGTATCACTATATTGACAGAAAACATGTTCGAATCCAGTTTTCAGGAAAGCATGTTAGGGTACTATGTGTTTTGAAGCAGTGCAGAACTTTGGTTGAGGGTGACAATCTGAAGGCTTCTAAGTCACAGTCGGAGGGTTGTTCTCCACCATTGCGTACTCCGTCTCAATACCCTGAGACCCATCAATGAGTCGAGCAAGCCCCGTACGGGTGGAGTATTTGAAGATGAAGGCTTTCATGAGATCATAGCGATAGTGGCGATGGGCGAAGCTGTAGACCACAGGATTTACACAGCAGTGTAGCAGCGACAGGCATTGAGTAAGGTGAAGTGCCACAAACAGACCATTCTCTGAACTGCAGCCCAGTGGAAGCACACCTAACATGGCTAGAGCATCGGCTAACAGCACCGCATGATATGGTGCCCAGCAAGCTATGAAAACCACTATGTACATTAAGATGACCTTCTTGCTCACGCTTCGATCCTGGTCTCCATTTGAAGGTGAATGAGTGGAAGTGGAAGCTAAAGTGTTTGCCAACAATGCATATGACACAGCTATAATAGGGAAAGGTATGGCAAAACCAAGAACTACAAAACTCAATTGTATGCCCACCATCCACTGCAAAGGGTTGTCCTCTGGGTATACAGGAAGACACAAGGTCACGTGACTGTATTGTGACTTTACAGACCGCAGGAAGTATGTGTCGGGTACTGAGGCGAATAAAGCAAGCAGCCATGTTATCGCACACACTAAACGCCGAACTTGTCTTCCTCGTCTGTGAGAAATCTCCCTAAATCGCACCACCGAGAGATACCGGTCCACACTCATGCAGGTCAGGAAGAAGATGCTGGCGAAAAGATTGACGCTGAACAGAAGATGTGTGAGTTTACAAGCCGCCTGACCGAATGCCCAGTGTCCTCCCTGTGCCAGCGAGCTCACCCACACAGGAAGAGTAGCCACTACACACAGGTCAGCCACCGCTAGGTTTAATATATACATGTGCGTCTCGTGGTAATGACGCTGAGAGCGCATGTTGACCCACACTACTAGCGCATTGGCAGCCAGGCCAACGACAAAAATGAAGGCATAGAGGGTGCACATGGCATTGAGGAGAGCAGAACGGTTAAAAGAAGCCGGGCACATTTGCGCTTCAACCCGTGAGCTGTTGTTATTGGAGTCCGTGAAGTTTAATTCTTCCCACATGGCGAAGAATTCAGTCAGTTCGCTGGCACTTAAACCCAACTTCTCATTTGGTGATGACGACTGTATCTGTGAAAGAAAACAGAAGTCAAACACCCTTCAAAAGGTTGTCCACATTTCTCTAATGAATGTCTTTGATCTAATGTATTAGATAATTGTGTTTAAAATATTTAATAACATGAATTGACATTGCTTGCCTTTGTGTTGTGCTTCTTGTGCTAGTGTTGTAAATAGGCATGGGCTGATATAAGATTCTGATGGTATGATAACCTTGGATAAAAATATCATGGTTTCACGGTTTCAAAGTATCGTGATTGCTACTATAAAATATATTCTTATTACATGACTGGCTAAAAAACAACAACTTTTTTCTCCTTTGAGCACAATATATTTTATTTTGAGAAAATTGTTTAATATTATGAAGCAGCAAACATGTCAGGCAAAATAATTCAAATGAATCATTTACTTCTGCTGTCATCATTTAAAAAACACTGATTTACAACTTAAAACATAATTTTTTAGATATCTTTTCTGTAGAAGATACTGTTGTCAAAAAAAAAAAAAAGTAAATAAAAAAATCAGGAATGGTATCACAGAAACTTTGGGTGGTTTTAAAACCCTGACTTTTCCAAACCGCGGTATACCTTGAAAACGGTTATCGTCCCATGCCTAGTTGTAAACTCTATTTAATAATTAATAAACTAAATCATAAATGTCATGTTATATTTATCACAAAACTAATTCAAAATATTACTGTTTTAAGTTGGTTTTTACAGTTTTTCTTAGTCGCTTTGGTGCGTTTCTCACAACACCGGTGCATTTCTGCACAACAGTTAATGCATTTCTCAAAACAATTAGTACAAACTGCAAAACCTTGCTGATAACCTGCAAAAGCACGTCACATGCTCAAAATGGATAGTTCATTCCTCAAAAGCAAGTATTCATGTCGATCAAATTGTCATTATAATTATAATGAAAAGTCCTGACACCATTATTAATGAACAAGATAGTCAAATGGCTTTGTCATGTTTTCATCATGACAGTTTACTCTACATTTTTTTCAATGCAAAAAAGTCAGATGTTGGTGACACGTCCTGAAAATGCTCATTACAGCACTATATACTATTTGCACAGCCATTTGAAAACTACAGTAAAGTTAGACATCGCTGCATTTAGTGAGGCATCTAAGTACAAGACACTGAATATGTATGTTTCACATTTTTACTGCATTTGCTCTTTGCAATTCTAATTTATTCACAGCATTGTGCAAAAGAATAAATACACCTTTATTTACAACAAACATAAACTCCCTTTAGGTAGAGCTGTGCACAACTTTACACAATATTGCAGAACATATTGGAACTGAGCCTACAACATACACAGGTCTGTAAATCATTCATTAAATTGTTCAATTTTAAAGACAATTTCAGGAAAATATTTTAAATTTGTTTTATAAAATATGCTAGACAGATTTTGACAAATAGTTCACCATTTTTGTATGTAATGACTCAAGTAATGAAATGAGGACTATGAGTTTTCTATGGAATGACTATTCAGCTTAGACAAGTTTAGCTAATTTTGACTGACATAACATAAGCAAATGATAATGTTATAAATAGCAGAAAGTTGTTTGAAAACAATTGATGCATGTCCAAAAGTATCTGCAATTTGTTGGAAGGAGTGAGAAACTGCTACTAGGATGTGCACAAATGACTAATTGTTTTGAGAAATGCATTTACTGTTGTGCAAATGTAAATAGAGTTTTGAGAAATGCATCAAAGCGACTGAGAAAAACTGTAATCAAACAAGTACAACCATAATAAACAAAACTCCCCCAGCACCAAATAGGATTTATGAGCAATTGTTCGTTATGAAGACCATCTAGCTACTATGTGAAGTTTTGCTACAAAAACCAATGGATGCAGGTTTAGTTTTTCTCACAGGGTCATAATTACAATCTTTTGAAGGGACCACTGAAATTGTTTGACATAAGGCCATAAAATCATATGAGACAAAACTGTCCATGGCACAAGAGCACTGCATATTTGTGAAACTGTCACAGCATCCTATTATAATTTCATGGATCAGACCGATTAGAAAGTTGACACTACTTCAAAAGCACAAAATTGTTCAGCTTCAAGCTAGTCATGCTGAAGTGCCCCGTAAGTTGGTCCTGGTTTACAAAAATCAAAGTGAATCAATTCTATGACTTCACAGTGATTTCTACGGGCAAAGTAATTTCAGTTTAGGGGTTTTTTCACGCCATCTTAGACATCTAAGTGGTCCTTTCAAAAAGAAATGTTGCTATGTGGCTGGTGAGGTCACAGACCCTTGACCCTTGATTTCTCTCTGGTCACTAAATCCTTTTTTAGTGGAGCTTTTCAATCTCCAGCAGAGCTGCAACAACGCATACAAATGTCTGAATAATGCTGTTCTGAATTAGGGTAATGAAATATAAAACAAGTTTGCCTCGTGCTGCAAGAGCGTGGCTCTGCCTGAAAAGGACATTTCCTGTTACTCCACCTGTATTCTGTTTGAAGTTCATTACAAAGTTAAATCTAATTGTTTTCCATTTAGTAAGCACACAATAGTGCTGGCTGCTAAACGCTTTTAGGGTTTTTTGTTTGGGAATTGTTTATGTGCTTTAGCCCTAGGAGGAAACAGTTTAGGAAGTTTATAGCACAAAATGTAATTGATGAATCATTCAGGGATTAAAACATGAAGGTACACCTACAGTACAAACACACAGCCTTCCTATTAGTTGTTCATGTGTAAACACTGCAAAGACTTTCTGTTACAGACAGTCCACTGTCACATGTAAATGCTGACATACATAAATGTGCCTTGCTCTCTAGCAGTAAACAGCAAGGACACAGCGATGTCAAAGGTCAAATGTTTTATGACAACAGACACCTCGAGGGCCTTGAACCTGTGACAGGGCTCTAGCTGAAAGGATGTTGGATATTTAGTCATGCTAATGTGTAATAATCACTGTAAATAATATCAGATCTAATAACGATCCCGTTAATAAAAAATGTTCTCGAGTTCTTCTGTATTTCTTTGAGTTCTTCTGTTTGTTTTTTTTTATTAAAATGAAATGCATTTCATGCTCCTGCACCTCAAGCTAACCTTCTGTTTCCAATAATTTGATTTATTTTGAGGATATTGATTTCAACAAATGTAAATATTGTAATAAAATGATACCGCAAGTAAAGCTTGATGCATGAACTCATAGGACAAACTGGGATTACTGGCAGCAAATACAAAGCAGAATGTATATATAAAGCCAAACCATGGACATAATGAACTGAAAATGCTTAACATATGTGAGCGGTTCTCCAAAAGAAAAGATCTACAACAACGATGTGATGATGATACTGTATAAAATGTATTAAGTTTTATGCTAGTTACTTTTTTCTGAATTAACCATCAAAATCGAGCTCTAAAGGAAAACTGACTATACATTTAGTTGTTTTTATAAACCAGACCTCATCTCTGAGGTGAGGTCCAGCGTGTCTGGTTTTCTTAGTAAAAAAAAACGGTTTGTGCGCCCATAATTTAGCCACCCATGAGCAACTTAGTCAACAACAGTAATAAAGATATCGGGATACAAAAATCTGTTACAAAACCACACGTAACGTTACGCTATTTTCAGTGCCAATGTATTTTTCGCATTTGTGTTGTCAAAATTAATCCTAACGGAACGCAATAACTCCATGGTTTGTCCTCGGCGTCAGGGAAAATTGTGTCCCTATTAAAAACTTACTCAGAGCCAGTGAAAAACTCTGAAACATGGTGATTCAATACGCTTACAACGTACGGACCCACTCACTCTAATAACAGAGACATCATAGCGAAAAGTTATAAAAATAGTTAAACCCACTTGCCTAGCTGATATGAGTGCAGGTGTCTGAAGTACGGCTGTGTAACTGAGAGCCTTCTAAAATACAACTCTTTTGCTTTTCGTTAGATCAAGTATGATATGGCTCACCTCTGTCATTTTGCCTTTAATGCTTGTTGAGTGCGCAATGTTAATCCAGGGTTTCGTTCTCATGCGCAGATGAGCTGAAGTGATCCTGTCTGCGCTTCTGCTGCAGGTTGTTTAAATAGGGTGAATGAAAGCGGTGACGCCCATCTGTGTCTGAAATCAACGGATCTGAACCATGATCTGAAAAAAAAACTACATTCTAAGCACAATATTAATTCTTTCTTCATTTAAATTTTATGTGAATCCATTTGTTTTTTGTTATTTTAAATAACATTTCAATTACTGGTTTTATTTTTTTACATTGTATATAACTTGTTTGATTCTTATTTAGTAAAAATATTGCTAGATTGTTTAAATAATTAAATACATTTATTAACATAATTTTTTAGGGTAGTTAAGCATGAGTAGAACTTGTGTTGTATATAGGATGTCACATCCTGACACCTCAGAACCCTAGTTTCTCAAGTCTAATTACACATAATGAAACATAACCACCCAAAACGACAATCTAAAACATTGAGAAAAAAACTGAACAGTTGTAGCAGGAAGAGTTTGCATTGCAAAACCTCAAGACAAATTTCATTTTGACTAGGAAATACAGCTTATTAAACTGGACGCGAAAACATATGTAGTGGGGTTTTTTGTTCTCTCTAATAGAGAATATGATCATGTTTATTAGACTGACCTCATTAATGACATGATCGCTGAAGGAGAGATTGTTTCCATTGCGATAACCTTCATGAAAGGGCAACCTCAGCATGTACGGATATCCATTGTCCAACACTATCAAAAGTATCAGAGTAGATTTCAAAAAGTCACTGATAAGCATCGTGGTTCTCCTTAACACTTGTGCCAGCTTCTTTATCTAAGCTTTCTTCTACACAGGAGGGGAGAGACCTTTTGGCGGAGGCTTTGAAAAGGCAATTGAATGAGGAGAATTAAGAAGGGAAGAAAGCACAGGTCCAAAGCTGCTGGAACAGAGGAAAAATCTCTCCTTTAGCCTTTCAAACGCATATTCTTCTTCTTACCTCCAGTGCTAAGCAATCACTGTAAAAGGAGTTACTCAGTGCAATAAAGATCT